AGGACCGCGTTATATCGGGGTAGAGGTGTAATGCCTAATTAAACAAGTGAATTTAAAGCAGTCTCTCTCACCAGGTTACAGCAGTCGTACTCACTGAATTTCTACCCGTCAGGATCCCTCCTCCAGTCCAAAGCTGTTTCCTTTGTTCTCCAGAGGTTGTGGATGCCATGGGTAGAGAGAAAGGGAGGAATAATTTGGGGCATCTACTCTCCCTTATAGTTCTTTCTCTTCTTTGAGAATCATCTCCAGCTGAGGTTCAGAACAGAAAGTCTGTGTGGATGGGAACCCCCAGCTGTTTCTTTATCAAGATGTAGATTTTCCCCCCACACCCTCTTTCCTGCCAAAGAATGGCGACTTTACCAGGTGATGCTCTATTTGATTTTTTTGACGCCTGGCTGAACTGTCGGCTAGCCTTTTCTCTCTGGGGAACTGGTTTGTGACTGTTCCCCAGACTTCGAACATGTCTTAGTAACATCATATAGTAGAGTCTTATAACTTTATATACACACATCTTTTACCAGGACAATAATGGTCAGCAAATTATGAGTTTTCAAATGATACCTCACAAGGCATACTTTGTACAGAATTTGTCATAGTCCTGTAAAAGGGGTGAACGTAGTGGTACAGACTGTCACGCACTCTCCTCCCCCAAGTGGTACAATCTGTTCCTGGGCCTTAGGGCTTGTCTACACATAAATGTTAATCCAGAATACAGTAGGGTGTGAATTTAAATGGATTAACTATCTCAGATTAAGTTGACATGTAGATGCTCTTATTCTGGAATAAATGTGCTTTATTCCGAATTAGCTTAATCCAAAAGTGAATTAAACTCATTTGGAATAAGGCATGCTTATTCTGGAATAAGAGCCGGAATAGTCTAAGCCCTTAGAAAGGCAGCTTTCTCTGTTGCGGTAGAACCGTTTCTCTGCCTGTCTTGTCCACTTACAATAATAAATATTTAAACCCAAACCAGGGTTTGGACAGGGCCAGAATCCTCCTGGCTCAGGGCATGAACTGCCCTCTAACTACTGGGGGAGAAGGCTCCCATAGCTGCCTCCTGTAGGGTTTGGGACACCTTCTTCCAAGCTGCTGTCAGAGACTGGATACCAGGCTAGCGGGAGCCCCCGGCGCCTTGACTCCAAGGCCAGAGCCACAAAGGCATCACTGCCTCTTGCCTTTTCCCTCTCAACAGAAAGCAAAGCTGCACAGAACACGCAGTGCAAGGCCCTGCTGCTCCGTGCGTGGCCGAGCAGCGGGGCAGGCCCGGGAGAGGCAGGCACTGAGAAGGGGGCGTTTGTTGTTCCAGGTTCCAGTGACGTTTGCGGATGTGGCGGTGCACTTCACGGCGGCAGAGTGGGCCCTTCTGGGCGAGAGGCAGCGGGCGCTCTACCGGGACACGATGATGGAGAACTATGGGAACGTGGCCTCTCTGGGTAAGGGATTTGCTTCTCCACGTGTATTAGAAGCTGGGAGGACTGGGAGTCTAGGCCGTGGCTCAAGTTTTCTCATCATCCCTTAGACTTTCTACGGCTCAGCTTCTGTAGTCCCCAGAATCTGTGTGAGAAGCTGTCACCCCCGCTCCCAGAGCCATGCCAGCAGGAGACGGGACAGGCCAGCTTTCCTAGGTTCGTAGCGTTTAAGGGCAGATGGGTTCATTAGCTCGTCCAGTCTGACTTCCTGTGTGTCACAGGCCCTGACATGTCACCCCAGTACCCCTATTTTGAACCCTGTGACTTCAGTTAAACCAAAGCCCTTGAGCCACTCCACTATTGTGAATCAAAGGCAGAGAACAGGAGAGATCCAGGCGTCACCAGCACCTGAGACCCCTGCAATGGCAGGGAATTGGTTAGGGGGGATCTGAGCAGGCGACCCTCGTCCCATGCTGCGGTGGAAGGTGAACCCCTCCCCCCCCACGGTCCCTGCCAATCTGACCAAGGGGAAGATTCCTTCCCAACCCCAAATCCAGCATGACCCCAAGTGTGTGAGTGAGGGACCAGCCGGGCTTGTAGAGAAAGGATTCTCTGCACCACCTCAAACCACCAGCCCACCCCAACCAAGATCCTGTCTCTCGCTGTGGCCAAAACTCTGATGCTTCAGAGGAAGATGGAAAAATTCCCTAGATTATAATTGAGCATCAGTGGGGGGAAAATCCTTCCTGACCCCTTCAGGTGCCTGGCTGAAGCCGTGCCGCCTGAGGGTGGATTACAGTCATTAGGATCTCCAGTACGTGTCCCCAGAGCACAGCATTGTGCTCGGAAGAGGAGGCTTCGGGGTGTCTTGCCTACTGCCTGTATTCAGAAAGTCTCTAGCTGTGTTTTGGGGTGGGGAGCTAGGGGAGAAACACTTGCTCTGTGCCAGAGTCATAAAGCCTCTCAGGGTGGGGTGGGGATACCCTGGCCCTCGGACAGGGGCCAGTCACAAAGGAAAGTGACCGGGGTTTCTGAACATCCCAGTGGGAAGTGCTCACTCTGGGTTGGATGGGGGAATTCTGGTTAATTCCTGCAGGGAACAGCCCTGAGCACCTGGGGCCTGTTTAACTCTGAGATCCCCCTTTTCTCCGGTCTGACTTGCCTCTGTCTCAGCCTCCAGTCTAGCGATGGGGGGTCCCTGCACTCCTGGCCTGTGTCTCTTTACACCGTGTGAATGAGTGTCCCCGCTACAGGGAGGCAGTGTACACACTGTGGTGCTAACAGAGCTGATCGCTCTGGGTGAACCCTGTCGTGCAGCCAGGTTGGCTGTCGATTCCAGGGGCCCCCCAGAGGTGATGCATGGGGGGGCAAGAGGAGGTCAAGTGCCCCCCCAGATTGGCCAGCCAGGGGTGAGGAGGGAGAGGGGCTCTACCTTCCCCTCCCTGCGTCTCCCCCCCCACACACACACACCTTTGGCTGAATTGGCTGCGCTCCCTGGCAGCTGGGCAGGGAGCAAGACAGAGCCGTATCTGCCTGAGAGAGCCTGGCTTGGAGGCAGGGCGGCCCGCTTCCTGCCTGGGCTCGGCTGCGGGGGTGGGGGAGGGGACTCTGGTTCATTCACCCCTGTCCCTGGCAACTGGGGCGACAGGGGGCCGCCCTCCCTCCGGGCCCTGCTGCAGGGACGGGGGCCAAGCGAGTCAGAGCCCCGCTCCCTCCCCCCGGCCGCCGAGCCCAGGCTGCCTCCCAGCCAGGCTCCCTCAGGCAGACGTGGCTCTGTCCTGCTCCCTGCCCGGCTGCCAGGGAGAGTGGGTCGGACTTGCCTGGGGGAAGGGGGAGGCACAGGGAGAGAAGGACAGAAACCCCGGGGCCCCTCCCCGCAGGTAACGTGGGGCGGGGAGAACACGGCGGCCCCAGACTGTGCGGGGGGAGGGTCACTTGGCAGGGGAGACTCGTGAGGCGGTCACATGTCCTCCCCTTTAGCTTGTGGGCCCCCCCGTCGTAACTTGTCCCCAGAGGGGGAAGGACAGTAGTGCCAGTGCAGGGCTTGGATTTACCTCTGAGTTGGCGATAGGGCGTCCATTGGCATTTAGCAGCGGCGCTGGTGTCTTAACAGGGGCACATCAACTCCCCTCGCAGACACTTCGCCTCCCCAGAAGGCTTCCGTGGTATTTCCCCAGCTGTGCGGATCCCACAGCCTTGTGGGCACGGGAAGGGTGGCTGGGGTTAAAATCACGGAACGATGACTGCTGAGCCATTTGGCAGGCTGGGACCTTACCTGTGGACTTTCCCCATGAGCAGGGATTCCCGTTCACAAGCCGGACATCATCTCCTGCCTGGAGCGAGGAGAGGAGCCCTTTGTCCCAGCTGCCCAGGGCCTTGAGGAACCAGAGATCCTGAGAGGCATCTACACAGGTGAGGGATGAGATAAAGCATTTAGAATATCAGGGTTGGAAGGGACCTCAGGCGGTCACCTAGTCCACCCCACTGCTCCAAGCAGGACCAATCCCCAGATAGATTTTTGCCCCAAATGGCCCCTTCAAGGATTGAACTCACAACCCTTGGTTTAGCAGGCTAATGCTCAAACCACTGAGCGATCCCCCCCTGGCCGAGGGAAATGAAATGTTGGGACCCTGGGAAAGCGGCGTGAGTGCCCCTCCATCTCTGCCTCCTCTTGTGAGCTCTGCGGAGGCAGGTCTCGGCCGGAGACGTGCAGTGTTTGCCTTGGCTCTGAGCAGCCCCTTTCTGCCCCGGTGGATTCACCACCTGAGTACCAGAGAGTTCTGGAACCGTAAAACAAAACATAAATGTAGAGTCCTGAGGCCAGAAGGGACCATTACGCCCCTCCAGTCTGGTCTCCTCAATCACCCGGGCCAGAGAACCTTCCCTGGAGCAGGGCTGGCTTTAGGCCGATTCAGCCGATTCGGCTGAATTGGGCCCCGCGCTAAGAGGGCCCCGCGCCGCAGCTCTCCACCCCGCCCTCAGCTCACTTCCCCCTCCTCCCCTCCCCTGAACGCTCCGCCCCCTGCTCCTCCCCCTCCCCTGCTTCCCGCGAATCAGAGGTTCGCGGGAAGTCTGAAAAGAAGCAGGGGCGGGCAGGCAGCACCAGGTAAGCTGGGGTGGCGGGGGGCGCGAGAAGGGCTCCGGGGAGGTGCGGCCCAGTCCGGCCCCGGTTCCGGCCGAGCACGCAGGCCCCAG